ATATACTACTGTACGAAAATATCGAGGTCGAATAACTAACTGTATATGTGGCAACAGAAAAAGACAAAAAGAAAAGAATTGCGTGGCTGTATAGTCACGCACTAAATGTATGGTCAATGAAAAATGAGAAAGAATGAAAAATGAACAAAATAGAGAAAGAAATGGCTGACTACCTCGAAAGGTCATAAAAGTTCGTGTAAGGCTAGAGATCGAAGAAATGAGAGCTCTGTCTTAACACGCAGGAATATAGGTACCGATGCCGTGTTACAGAAAAGATGTGACTTTTTTTATCATAAATGTACCGTTGCTCATCGGTTTTTTCAGAATAGTGATGAATCCACCAACAATAGTTCGTTTTATCGATCGAACAATAAAAGAGATTGTTGTCAATTTAGAAGATTTTACTGTTGTATGGCTTGATTTAGATTTGAATAAAACAGATGATTGTTTCGAAACATTACTAGCATTACGTGAAATTCTTAATTATTTGAAAGAATGTGATGATCCAGATAAATCTATTGACTACATAACATCTATTCAAAATGAAAAAGTTTTTCTGATCATGTCGGGATCGTTAGGTGAAATACTAGTTCCATTTATTGAAAACGACGAGCGTTGTAAGTTGTTGTCTTTACTTTACCATCCCATATAACAGATAAATTGTCACCAAAAGACGCTTCCGTATATGCAGTATGAAGGTGGAGTGCGGCCGCTCTTGTGAAAACTCCGCCCAAAATCGGAATACTTTTATATGTAGAAAGACAGAGAGTTTTATGGGCATCAAAATGAGCTATAAATGAGCTAGTCAAAAATGTGCCTTTGAAATGTTAGGACAAGTGAAAATGATGATATCTGTCAAGTATTTCGACAATTACCTTATATAGACGTATTTTTGAGAAGTTTATTTATAACTGATTTTGGAGCCTAGAAAATTCTGTATCTTCCTATGTATCAGCTTTAGTCATGGTCTTTGATATTGTACGAAAAATTCGAGAAACAAAGTAAATGACTTTCGTCGAATTGGCGAAGAGAAACGACGAGAAATATTCTTTTCAAGGAGGCAAGCAATTTTTGAGTCGATTTTTCAGTAAACCTCGTCATTATTCTGCGACCCTTCATGAGGCACGGCACCTGAATCCGCATCGAGTTATGAGCAAAATGAGACCTCCCCGAGCTTTTCAACGTCTTTCTAGGCTGAGTTATTGGCAAATCTCTTAAAGGATTTCGAGTCAGCCGGATGACTGAAAGTAAAATGGCCTTATCTCAGCCTAGAGATGCCCTAGAAAGCTCAAGAACGTCTCATTTTGCTCAGAATTTGGCGCACTGTCGATACGATGTTCTTGACACGGAAAAGATTTCCAAAAGGCTGTCGAAGGTTTCTCAGAGTTCTGGTTTTTTGGAAAAATTGAAATCTCTCAAACACATTTCTAACGTATTCAACATTGCTTTTTACCTAGAAAACCATAATAGCAGTTCTCTAGGTGGAAGAGAACTGCTATTATGGTTTTCTAGGTAAAAAGACCATCGTTGGACGACATCGATGGCGACTCAGATCAAACCTCAGACGGATTGTGATATTTCTTTTAATTTTAAAATATAGAGTCGAACGCGTCTAGACGCGATTTCATTTCGAACACCTATGAAGTCATAACCGTGTGATGACACTCTAAAACAAGATCGAAACGTGTCTATTTTGCTCGACTCACGCTGACTTTCAAGCACATTACCTTATATACAGTATCTTAAATACAATTACATGATCAGATGCTGCACATCATAGATGGAACCGGTCAGGATTTTTGGCAACCGGTACCGGTCTGAAAAGTTCCGACCGGACCGGTCTAACAGGTAAATACCGGCTTGACCGGCGGTCTAAAATCCGCACCGGTACTGGACCGGATCGGTCGGTTACCGTTACCGGTTTCATCTATGCTGCACATTATCTGGGCATATATATCTTTCCTTTAATTAGATTCCATATTTCAAAAGATAGATGGCCTACATTTACAATGGTTTCATTGTTCATTCACCGTTGAAGCCGTCTGATGAGACCTTTAAGCAAGGTCGAAATCACGATTACGGTGTGCTTTCTGACTCAACCTCAATTCGGTTCTATGGATTTCAATTACAGTTGATTCGTTAAATCATTGAAATGTATGAGAAGTCAAAAGCACCAAGAGGTCGACCTGGTTCTGAAGAAAATCCTATTAGACTTATTATTCCCGTCACTTATACCTTCAGCAGCAGCAAGAGAAAATCCTTGAAAACAATGCATAGTCTACGCAAATACAACAAGTAAAGCTAAAAAGCGAGCTGTTTCCAGATACGAATGCACTGAATGTAACGTCGGACTTTGTATTTCATGGACGTTTTCAAGATTATCACGCGTCAAAATACTTTTAAATGTTTATTCTTTATATTTGCGAATAAATGCATTATTTAGTATTACAAAAAATTTTATTTGGTTTTTTCTACAATAATCCCGTCCTCAGCAGGTTAAATATCATCTTGACTAGCATAATGTTACTCTTCGGGGACGGATGAAGAGTGTTTTTCGAGACATATTTTAACAGACTTTTTCCAGCGTTGTTGTTAATATACTAATACTTCTGGTAACGACGTACATAGTTCCTACACTAGCCATTCCAGACGAAAGGGTGGCGAATTCAATTGCGATTTGTGTGCCACATTGCAAAACTATACGAATTACTCGAAATGGTTTTCCAGCTGGAACAAACAGTTCGACAACGTCGAACACGATTTGATATGGATTTAGTTTTTGAAAGCCGTGTTTCAACTGCAGGATGTGATTCCATTTAGTGCTATCAAAACCTGCAACTTTAAAGCCACATTTGGCGAGAGCTGCAAGTAATCGTGTAATAACTTCGTAAGTGGGATGAAGCATTATGTTAGCTAAATTTACTTCTTGCACACACAGCAGAATTGTCAGTAAAATTAACGCCTTTTTATACATCTTTGATTTGATTTGTTATCTAAAAAAAGCAGACATTAGCATCCTTTTAAAAAAACTCCTCATATCTGCTGTATGTTTTCAGATTAATAATTAATTGACAAGACGTAGAATTACTGGCACCTCACATGTTAAAACCGATCTTCATATTGTTTTTGGCGATTTAATTCAGCCTCTTGATCAGGCAGAATAACCTAATAATCCTATTCTCACTTGGAAAACTTACAACATCGGCAGAAATCAAATCAGTTATGCCCCAACCATCGTTTATTTCTTTGCTAAGTGGAAAAAATGAATTATTTTCGTAATACATTTCTTAGGATTAACATCTCTACTATTGAACTTACCAGAAAAGTTTCAATAATGGGCAATTCAAAACTCTTCAAAAATTGGAAAAGAGCAATTGTTCTAAATTGCTGTCCATTACGCTTTATTGGTGAGCAACCTAGGCACTTCAAAAAAATGTACAGAAGCTTTCGCAATTATTGTTTACATTCACTACTATTTTTGCAAAAAGAATAACAGTGAATGCTAGTTTTCAAGCGCTGAGTGATCAAAAATTCAGAAAGGAAAATTCGTTAGCTTTCGCAAATCTGTCTTTATTTTCTGTCTCTTTCTGGAAGAGATTATATGAGATTTGGTGGAGTTTCTATGGGTCTCAGCGGCGTTAGAGAGGGTTTTATAGGTTTCGAATGGATTTTATGGGCTTTTGGGCTTGCCGTGCGATTTTATAGGTTTTCTTGGATTGAATGTGTTTCCTTGAAGTTTCCGCCGGTTTGTATGGGCTTTTGAGAGCTTTTATCGATTTCTAAGGATTTTTAGCGGTTCTTAAGGATGTTTAGATGTTTCACGGACTCTTTTTGATTTTTAGGGATCCTAATAGATTTTTATTGGCTTTTAGGGATTCCCAGGAGTTTTTATCGCTTTTTAGGGTCATAAGGAGTTTTTAGGAGTCCCAAAAGGTTCCGATCGATTTTTAGAGGTCTCAGGGTGGTCACTAATTGTTAAGTTTTTTTAAATGGTTTCCCGAGGGTCGGATGGTTTTTTATTATAGTTCAGGTCAGGTGCGAGTCTCAGACTGTTTGCGAAGTTTTCTGTAAGTTTTTTAATGATTGAAAAGCAGAGGAATCAATTTCGTTATTGCTTCTCGGTAAAAGAGTGAACCTGTGTTCCCGGCCGGGAATGACCGAACTACATGATTTCGGTGCATGCCTAGTTTTTACAAGGTGTGTATTATAATGTATGGCAATCTAGAGGCTTGATAGACATTGCAGGATACTGCTTCGTTGATCCTGACACCAAGCATCATCCATAACAAAAGAGCTCTCATATACGATGAAAGTGGATCTATCGTATTTCACATTTTGAATTCCGGAGGGATTGCACTGAAAGTTTTATCAAATGGTTATGAAAATCATCGTGCTGATTTATTATTACATACCTCACAAGTCGTGTATACTATTTCTCCTTGAACGTTCTGGAAAATGATGGCAGCCTGTCCTCGATTATAAAATACACTGCTGTATGGGTTTTTTTTCAACTGACGATTAATGCTTGTTCTCGTCATCACAGAAGAAGAAAAAACTCTATGACTAATTTTAAAAAGTTTCCTTATTTTTGTTCTGTTTCTCCACGGTACGCTTGCATCTCTGTCGCTTCTCTCTGTTCTCTTATCATTCTATATATATATTAGACACAATGTGATCAGTAACTGTAAAGGAAACTTTTTTGCTTCTCATTTTATACAACTTGAAAAAGGCATAAAGCCGAAACACGTGTCGTTACTATTAAAGTAAAATAAATTTAACAACAAAATTACTTTGTTATCGTTCGCTCGAGCGCTTTAGTTCGAGAAAGTTCGATATCGTTATTAAATTCAGAGAGAGAGAGAGAGGGGGGGAAAGAGAGAAAGAGAGAGGGAGTGAATGAAGAAATGTGCAATGAAGAAGATCCTGCCCCGGTTTTCTTCGTGAAAAGACAATAACAAGACGATAATCTTTATTTGGTGCAAAAATAATGAGGAAAGGCGAGAATATATTGTTCTGGCTCTTTCTCTCTCTATATATTTACATATATGTTCAAAAACATCGCAAAGACTGTCTGTTTTGTTTCTTCTTTTTTACACTAATCACAACGCTGGGAGCATAAGAGAATAAGGACTTTTTCCACTGTATGCGCCAGAAAATCGGTATTTTCTACGTTTAATGGGTTTGAACGTACGAAATTTAAAGTCAAAATTACAGTAAAAACGTTAAGTTTTCTAAAGTTTTTTCAAATTAAAGTGAGACTCTTATTTTAAAAAAAGCGTAGTTTTTCGACAAAATTTAACATCTTTAAAATCAGTTCTTAAATCCTATCAACTACATTATTAAATATTTCGTTCAATTTGCTTCAAAATAAAGTTAACTGATAAATGTTATCCAAGTTTTCAGGTTGCCAGATGGCTGAGTTACAGGCATTATAACACTATTGTCATCTAGGCAGCAGCCTCCCACTTTCACACTGAATTTTTACTCCATTTTATATTTTTTGTGAAACGTTTTGATAGAAAGTCGTAGAAACCTGGTTTACATCTCATTTTGAAGATAATTGAACAGGCTGTTTTTATGGTGTAGTTGATAAGGTTAAAAACTCATTCGGAGGCGTTAGATTTTTCTAGATAACTAAGCTTTCAAAAAGATCTATCACACGACTTAGCAACTAGAACATAAAGTTTTTTTCATAACATATAGACTTCGATTCGGTGACGATAGGATTTGTCCGGTAATAACATATATAAAGTTAGGAAAGAGAGCAGTTGATGATTTAAATGGTAAGGTAATGAAGTACAAAACTGCTATAAACATGATTAACTAATCATAATCTATTTATTTCATTGGTATTTCGACAGAATCCACTGTCATCATCAGAATGAAAAAAGTGTAAGTGAATGTGTCAAAATTAAGACTATACGTAGTCAAATATATAATGAAAAGTATAGAACGAAAAACGACACGTCCAGTCTGTATATGAGTAGAGTTCTTAAAGAAGCAAGAACTTTTTTCTTCTGTTAACAAAACAAGCAGTAGGCAAACATTGTTTTCGAAAGATGCTTTTACTTGTGAGAATAATAGGGGTGGGGATGAGGGGTGAGAATGAATAAAAGACAACTCTGCTCTAGGGCTGTAGCCGTTCACGTTGGTTTGGTAAAATTTTAAACGGGAACGGAAACGGTTTTGCCGTTGACGTTCTGAACTGTTAACGCTACTTCATCAGTTGACGTTCTGAACTGTCAAGGTGTCGCATTAGTTGGCGTACTGAACTGTCAACTGCGTCTGGTCAGTTGACGTTCTAAACTGTCAACTGCATGTCGTCAGGTGACGTTCTGAACTTCAACGGTATCTCGTCAATTGACGCTCTCAACTGTCAACGTGAAAAACTATGTCGTTAGATGTCGTTATAGTGTAGTTTAGTATCAGTATGATGACTTGTAGACCAAAAAGCATTGAGAAAAATCACGCGAAAGAAAACTGAAAAAAAGAGACACAAAACGAGCAGAATAACGTAGAAAACGGGAAAATTTCTCAAAACATTTTGATTCACGAAAGTTCATTCATGTCAAAGCTTTAAGTGAACAGTACGAAGGTTTCACTCATTTAAGAACCTTAGACCAGTGGGTTTCAACGTAGACAGTTCAGAACGTCAACTGACGAAACGCAGTTGACAGTTTAGAACGTCAACTAATGCGACACCTTGACAGTTCAGAACGTCAACTGATACGACACCTTGACAGTTCAGAACGTAACTGGTACAGTAGCGTTGACAATTGAGAAGGAAAACCGCAACGGCTACACCCCTACTCGGCTCTCAAAAATTTCCTTTAAAACTCCCTTTACCAATGCTCTTTCCTCAGTTAGCAAACTTTTTCTCAATACATGTGAGACTTTTTGAGAATCCAATATCATATTCTTATGCATCAAAGCCAGATTTTACCTTATCGTGTATTCAAAATGCTCATCTGTGAGCGGCTAGATTTCAAAACTTTTCTAGGAGAGTTTTTTATTACATTGTCAAGCTAACTTTGCTATTACGATAT